ATCCCCAAAAAGAATAAATTCTGACAAGTGCTTCCAGACATTGGAAATAGGTGTTCTGATTTGTCATTTTTAGTGGAATGCTTCCTTTTCTTTCACAGTATGCAAAGATATGGATGAATGGGGAAAGGTATTGCAGTTTCCTGTGCCGGACAATAATTTATGTGAGAATGCACTAACAATGTTTTCAATGGGCGATGGACATGCTCGGAGCTGGGAAAATTGGATCTTGACTGTGACATCTCAGCTTCTCAATTAGAACATTCAGATGTCTGTTGCTTTAGGAGTGGGAAAAAAAAAAAAAAAAAAAAATTAAACCTGTGTTTCTAATCAATTACAAATTTGCCTGCCGGCCCTCATAAAGCCTGCATTACTGCTGGGGATGGTGGGAAAGTGCTTTCTGGGAGGTAAGTGCATATTCTACAGAAAACTTGTTTTCAAGTTTTCAGCGTCTGAAAGTATGTAAATAGAGAGTTACTCTGTGCCCAGCAGCCGCAGTCCTTGAAAATCCCCCTGGTCAATATCGCACACAACGTATCAAATGTACAGCAGGGCTGTGCTTAAACAAAGTAACATTAAATTGATCAACGCTGATTTAATTTGAGGCAACCGCCGCTTATTGATTGTGTTGTCCAGCTGATTGTACAAAGCAAGCATTACAGGGACTCAGCATTAGCAGCCTTCCTCTAATGGTGTCTAAAGCAAGTGTTTTATTAAGTATCAGCTTAATTTCTAGTGAATTTTGAGTATTATTATGCAGCTTTAAATCTGTGCGTGCAGGCAAATGATGTTTGGGACAACATTTGCACAACTGTTGGGCAGCTTCCCCTGCTTGGGCAGTGCACACTCAGTGCATACACCAGTGCACACCCAGCACACACACCAGTGCACACCCAGCACACACCAGTGCACACCCAGCACACACCAGTGCACACACCAGTGCACACCCAGCACACACCAGTGCATACCCAGCACACACACCAGTGCACACCCAGCACACACCAGTGCATACACCAGTGCATACCCAGCACACACACCAGTGCACACCCAGCACACACCAGTGCATACACCAGTGCATACCCAGCACACACACCAGTGCACACCCAGCACACACCAGTGCATACACCAGTGCATACCCAGCACACACACCAGTGCACACACCAGTGCACACCCAGTACACACACCAGTGCACGCACCAGTGCACACACCAGTGCACACCCAGCACGCACCAGTGCACGCACCAGTGCACACACCAGTGCATACACCACTGCACACCCAGCACACACCACTGCACACACCAGTGCACACCCAGCACACACCAGTGCATACACCAGTGCATAGACCAGTGCACGCCCAGCGCACACACCAGTGCATACCCAGCACACCCAGCACACACCAGTGCATACGCAGTGCACGCACCAGTGCACACACCAGTGCATACACCACTGCACACCCAGCACACACCACTGCACACACCAGTGCACACCCAGCGAACACGCAGCGCACACCCAACGCACGCACCAGTGCACACCCAACGCACACACCAGTGCACACCCAGAGCACACGCACCCAGCACACACCAGTGCACACACCAGTGCACGCCCAGTGCACACCCAGCACACACCAGCGCACACACCAGTGCACGCCCAGCGCACACACCAGCGCACACCCAGCACACACCAGTGCATACACCAGTGCACACCCAGCGAACACGCAGCGCACACCAGTGCACACACCAGTGCACACCCAACGCACATACCAGTGCACACCCGGCACACAAACCAGTGCACACACCAGTGCACCCTCAGCACACACCAGTGCACCCTCAGGCCAACTCCCCCGGCAGCTGAAATCGGGCTTTTCACTGAAAAGCTCCTAAACCGCGGGTGATTTTTTGGAGTGGGTGCTCTCTGCTCCCCCTCAAGCCGTAACGCGCCGTGATTTCTGAGCCAAAAATAAAACTTTTGGAGAGTTTTTTTTGGTTTTTGACTTGGGAGCGTGGGGGGGTGAAAATTGTTGAGCTTGTACCGGTTTTGGGATGCCGCCCTGACCATCGATGTGCGGGGGCGGGGGGGGCGGCCCCGACGCTCCGGGCTGAGCCGGGAGCGGGACCGGGGGTCTGGGCTGTGGGTTCCCCGCACCGAGCCGGGCCGGGCCGTGCGGGGGAAGGGTCTCCCCGCCGCCGCCGCCGCGATTGGCAGAGCCGAGCAGCGCCGTCCAGGAAACGGCTCGGATTGCAGCGGGGGGAGTGACCAGGGGAGGGAGGAAGGGAGCCGGAGGAGTGCGCCGAGAGAGGGAGAAGGAAAAAAAGGGGGGGGGAGGAAAGAGAGAGAGAGAGAGGGGGGGAAAAAAAAAAAAAAAAAAAAAAGAAAACCACCCACCCACCGGAGGGGGGTTGTCGGCTCGACAAAGCTCGGGGAGGGCGGCTGGATGGAGCGGAGCGGGACCCGCGGCGATGCCCGGGCGGGGGAGGAGGCTGCTGGCGCCGGGCACGGCGGGCTCGTCCCTCTGAGGCGGTAGCGGCTGCAGCCCAGCCCGGGGACGGGACGGACGGGACGGGACGGGACGGGAGCTCCGGGCCGGCTCCTCGCCTTCCTCATCTCTTCGTCTTCCTCTTCATCTCCTCGCTTTTCCCCTCCCGTTCGCTTTCCCGCGGGGGATGCGCCCCGCTGCGCCTCTGCGGGTTTCCCAACCCGCCCCCCCGGGGCCGCCCGCGGAGTGACCGCGGCCGCCGAGGATTTTCCGCCGTCCCTCAGCCCCGCCGGCGGCGGGGGGAGCCGGAGCCGGACCGCCGAGCGTCCTCACCGCAGGTAACGGCACCGCGGGGAAAGGGTAGCCCCCCCACTTCCCCCCCAAAAAAACCGGGGGCGGTTGGAAGGTGGTGGTGGTGTGGGGGGAGCACCGGGGCTTCGCTCCGGCTGCCCGCGGTGGGGCCTCGCACCTGGGGCGGGATGCGGGGGTAGGGTCCCTCCCGGTGCGGGGCTGGGTCACCCCCCGGGGAGAGCTGTGCCCGGTGCGGGGCTGGGGCACCCACTGGGGCGAGTTGTGCCCTGTGCGGGGCTCGGTCTCCCCCGCCACCGGTGCGGGATACGGTTCGGGGCTCGGTCTCCCAGCCCCCGATGCGGGATACGGTTCGGGGGTTGGTCTCCCCCCAACCCTGGCGCGGGATGCGGTGCGGGGCTCGGTCTCCCCCGCCACCGGTGCGGGATACGGTTCGGGGCTCGGTCTCCCAGCCCCCGATGCGGGATACGGTTCGGGGGTTGGTCTCCCCCCAACCCTGGCGCGGGATGCGGTGCGGGGCTCGGTCTCCCCCGCCCCCTGTGCGGGATGCGGTTCGGGGCTCAGTCTCCCCCTCTCCGCCCCCGGTGCGGGATACGGTTCGGGGTCCCCCCTCCGAGGCGGGATGCAGGGCTCTGTCTCTCCCCCAGTACGGTTTGCGGGGTTCCGGCACCCTGCGGGGCGAGATGCGGTGCGGGGCTCCTTTCACTCTCTGTCACTTGCTCCGCGGTGCGGGAAACGGCGCGGGGGGGGGGAAGCCTGAGCGACACGGTTACCCGCTGGGTCGCTGCCGGTCCCCCCCCCGCTACTCCCCATCTCCCGGTCGCGGGATGCAGGGATGTCGCGGGGGACGGTGGCCGGCGGTGACAGCGGGGGCTGAGGAAGGGAGGCTCAGCCTCCGGGGACCGACACTCCCCCGATCCGGAGACCGGCACCGCCTCGACGGGCCGCCCGGAGCCCGGGGAGCGGGAGGTCCCTGCCCGCCGGGGGGCCGGGGGAGCGGAGCCTGAGATCAGGGAGAAAAAGTAAAAATCCTCAATGAAATATATACATATATATATATATTTAAATGCAAAACGGCCCGTTCAAACAGGGACCCATTATGCGTTGGGTGTGAAACGCTATCAACATTTAAAACTTCATTGTCGCCTTTGTACCAAATCCCTGTAAATCTTCCACTAGCCTTTACTCATTTTCATCTGAAAAGCCTGTTTGGGCTGAATAGACAGCAATCAGCAGCCTCTGGACTTCTCTCTCTCTGTGGAATGTCAATTAAAATGCAGATTTTTTTTTTCTTTTTTTTTTTTTTCTCTTTCCCCCCCCTGATCTCTTGGTGGCAAAAGACTTGAGAAAAACAGGATAGTCCTGGAAAGCAAATGAAAGAAGTTCAAACAATGCAAAAGTACTGAAGTTGCCAGCCGGTTCCCATTAGTCCTCCAGAATTAATGTTTAATAGCTGTGATGCTCAGATTTGCTTGGAGATTGACATACGATGAAGAGTCTTGTTAGATATTTATGTGTGTGTATATATATATATATAGAGAGAGAGGCATATATATTTGTGTATACATACAAATATATTGTGTATATACAAATATATATATGTGTATACAAAGCTGTTAGCTTTAAAGCTTCACATACCTGGGTTTTTCTGATGAAGCTACTGGGCTTTTTAGGAGGCTTGAGATTTCCTTGGGGAGGGAAGATCCATGTTTCATTCAGATTTTGCTGTCCCCTGCCTAATGGAGAAAGATGCTGAGGAGTGGTACAATGAGCAATGTATTGATTGGGTTAACATACTCTACAAATTGTGCTCTCCCCGGGGAGTGATAAACATCTTATAAACAACAATGGAAGTAGATTAAAAAGAACACTGAGCATTGAATTTAATTAATGCCACTGCTGAACAAGTACTACTTGTTTGTGTGTGTGAGTGTGTTTAAACTGAAGGACGGCTTGGAGGAATTTGGTTGGGCTCCCAAACCAGTCTGCTTTCCCATGCTTGTCAGTTTGGCAAAGAAATTTGGGCAGGTATGTGACGAGGTGAAAATTGACTTGATGAGCGAGTGGCAAGGAGAGCCATCAATCATTGGAGGCTGACAACTCCTCCCCAAAGTGTAGGCTGAGAAGAGAGACAGAGTTCCCTTTCAAGGGGAAAAATAAACACTACGTGTGGCTTTCACTGAGTCTGAGACTCCAGGAGGGATTATGGTATTGTAGTCAGGAAGCCAGAATTGTGGAGGCCAAAAAGCATGCTGGGGCTGTGTTCCAAACATTGAGATAGAGGTACATAATTATCCAGCACAGGAGGTCTTTCCAGAGACTCGTCCCCCAGAAACTGTGGCGATTAAACTATGAAAAGAATTTGGTTTCGTTTCATCTTCCTTGGACTCTCCTTCTTCTGGGAAAGGGCCATCCTCGAAGGCTGGTCGCTGTCGTGGTGGTAGAAGGTGGTTTGGCTCCATGGATGGGACCAGAGCTCTGATTTTTGCTTTGCTGCCCCTTTGCAAGCCGCGGTTTTGAATTTTTTTCGGCTGTCCTGTGGATGAAGAGCCCCTTCTTTCTGCTGGCAGATGTTCAGGTGCAGAAGCTGGCAAAAATCTTCAGGTGAGAAGGTGCGTGGTGTGGTAGCCTTGTGTTGCACTTCAGGACTTAGGGGATAAGGGTAGGAACCACAAAAGTGCCGTCAGTGGCATTTAATATAGCCTGAAAATCTGAAACAGCTGAAATATAAGTGGAATTAATGATGGTAAAAAAGAATCTGGAATATATGGTGGCATTCTGGTATGTTTTCTTTTTTTTTTGGCAAAATTATGGTTAAACTTTGCAAACTTGCAAAATTGTGATAAACTAAAATCGGGGGTTTTACAGGATGATTTATGGCAATTAAATTAGCATTACATCCAGTCTGTTAATTAGCGTTTCTACCCGCTCTACAGCTGGATAAACTGAGCTGCGGAGCTGTGGCTCTTGGACAGAGCCGGGTGGTGACCTGGGCGGTGGGGTCCAGGAGGGCTCGCTCTGGTCCTTCACCCAATGTAAACCGGTCCCAGAGACAGAGCTCTCTTCAGGTCTCCACCTGGTTGTTTAGAGAAGTGCTTGGAAAGCTCTTTGCAAATGTTTTTGCAGTGGTCTGGTGGTGTTTTCACTGGAGATTTAATGGTAGTTGCTCGCTTGTGGTCTGGGATGCTCAGGCTGTGCTTACGTCTGTAAAGGAAGGACAGAGCTCTGAGCCGAGAGCAGCTGAGGGGAGTAAAGCTCACCCTGAAGTATCAGGGTTTCACCTGAAATACCGTGAATTAATTTTCCCCAAGTCCCTTCCCTATGTCATCTAAAATCTGTTTTTATGGACTTCAGAAGTCACTGTATGTCGTACCCAGGATAAAAGATGCCTCACGAGCGTTTCTGTCCCTGGCACTGTGAGCTTGGTTTGTATGTGCAGGTAGCAAAGGGCTAATAAAATCTGATTTTTGATGGTTGGCTTTAAAAAGGGAGAGTATTTGTGTGTGTTTCTGTGTACTGTATGCTGAGGTACCATATCCAAACGATGGGGAGTTTGGAGGAGTTTGCCTTTATGGCTACACTTTCCCCTCCCTCTTTTCTTGTTTGTTTGTTTGTTTTTAAAGAGGGAGGGCAGGAGGAAAAAAGAGGTTTCTATGTTATTTTTCCCTTCAAGATGAGTGCTCTCTAAGCATTAGTTGGGTTTCATCACATCTGAGGTGAATCATTGGCCAGATTAGAGCAACTGCTGCAGTTAGTTATTCTGTCTATTTACTGAGGTTTACCACCTTTTATTTTTGAAGCGGAAAATCAGGTCTAATTTTCCGGTTGAGCTGTTAAATCACCCTGTGAGGATGCTCTTCTGACCCTCACCTGGCATCTTAGTGTGGTGGCAACAGGGTCCCCTGAAGGGAGTTGCCAGTTCCTTCGTACCACTTCTGTCTTCCACCAGCCCATGCCTGGATTACCAGTTAACTCCATCCATTTAATAAATTAGTTTTACTGTGAATAAAATAGACTTTTTTACCTCCCCATCTGAAACAGTAGATATCAACAAGCATCGTTGAAAGAGAGAGAAATGTCTGTGAACACAGTTTAGCATATATGAATGGAAAACGATGCTGGGGAGGTCTCTTGTGAAATTATAGTCTGTACCAGACTCTAAACAGGTTTTAATTGCCTGTAATGCAGTGTAGCTAACCAGTATCCCTGCAAAGACTGGAGCCTTTCACCTGTACAGGACCCTCAGGCTTTAAGAGGACACTGAACTGAGTCAGAAGAAGGTACATCCACAGGGGAGCTGGAAGTCCTGAGGTGAAATAGAAGTTTTACAGGTTATCCAGGTCTAAAGAGTATTTTTCAGCTGTTTTTCTTCCTTTTTTTTCTTGTGGAAAATTCTTGCAAATTCAGCTGGCTGCAGAACTGCCTCGATGAAGGACTGAAAAACAAGGCAAACTTACATAAACCTTCAAACAATAACAAGAATATAATTTGTATAATTGTGGTAATTTTGTAACATTACAGGTTATGTGCCTGCACATGTGTGCACCTCTTGTGTGTTTTTTTTTTAAACTGTATATTTTTCTGTCAGTAAAATAGCTCTCTAAATATGTGCTGAGAAGTGATTTTGTGAAAACAAGGAGGACTTGGTTACGCCTCAGGTGATGATGGAAACTGCTAACAGAAAATGAAAAGTCACTCACTTTTCACATATTCTTGAAGCTGGAAAACTATTTTTCCCATCCTCCTCCTCCTCCCCCTCTCACCTCAGCTCAGTTCGGGGCTTTCTGAAGTTTTTCTTGGTCGGTGTTTTAAGATGTTTTCGCTGACGGTGTTAAATCTCTCTCCTCCCCACAGCAGCAGCCGTCGTTCCAAGGGAGGAGGCATTACCCTGGCCGAAGGCACTGCTTTCTCTCCATGCTTCTCTAGAGGTGTTCAGATGGGATTAAAGTCCACATGGAGATATGGAAATGGACCAGGAATTTACTCTAAAAAGATGGTCAGCTGGGATTCGGGTTGCCTTATCGGCCTGGTGGTGGTCACCATGGCTGGACTTTGCCTGGCTCGACCTTCGTTTAATTTAGTTGAAGATGCCACGCTGGAACCTGAAGGTAAATCACTCTAGAATCCTTAAATCCGCAAAATGAGTTAATTTTAAATGCCTGAACAGTTGAAAGAGAAGCCAACGTCTTTATGTGCTTTGGTAAATCTAAGGCAAGTAACAGATTAGCCCTCAAGAGTTATGTTTTTTGACTTTTCCTGCTCGTACCTGGGCTGTGTTCATGTGAGCGTGCCTTTATTTAATCTTATGCAAGTGAGTGGTGTCAGTGATTTCACTTGGGACTGTCATCACGTTGTACAATCAAAGAGTGTGGCTGAAAGTTTTCAGGAATGGGTCTTTAAGGAAACCAGTCCAGTGCTCTTACATATGTGTTACGTGTTGCTGTCCCGAGGAAGGACACGGCTGTTTGGCCGCGTGTCTCTATCATTGCCTTAACCTGAGAAGTTCAGGGAAAAAGAAATCCAATAGTTTTCATGTGGCCTGAATGTTTAATTTTGCCAGGCGCTCTGCGGAAAAACGGTGTTGCAGCTTTATTGGTGTTTGCACTCGGGATAAATTCCCCTTTTGCTGTTAATATCCAAGAACAATCGGTACAGTGTCTGGATTGCAAGTTCTGGAAGTGTAGATGTTGAGATCTGAATGGCAGGGATTGCAGTTCACTACTGTGAAAGCAGAGGTTAATTGAGCCCCTCGCACTGGAAGAGGTGTTTTGACAAAAATCTCCTATTTTGAGCCTGCACCTGTTGGTACGTTCTTCCAGCTATATCCCTTCCTCGAGCTTTGCAAAGTGGTTTTCTTCTCTAAGGAGCTAAGAAAGGACTGCTTTTTTTTTTTTTTTAATTGTCTGATTGTATTTAAGAATGATTTTACTGTATTGAGTAGGATCTGTCCTGCTCTCTGAGCACCTTAGGGGGAAAGCAGGGCGTCCTTCCTAAGGTTTTTATCTGTCCTTCGGAGGAGCGACTAAATTTCTAATAACTGAACTGTCAAACCAATAGAGCATTTCTCATCCAGCCAGCTCACTGGAGAGAATTTGGCCTTTACACGTTCTACTACTCATGTCCACGGATACAGCTTTGTTTTTATTTAATACATTTTCATGCAAAACTTATTTGTTTCTATCCACTGCCTCTAAAAATAGACGTCACCAGCTAACACATTTTTAGAATCCGTTCCAAGTACATTTTTATTGATGGCAGGGGATGAACTATTTAGAGACGATGAGCCCTCCTCCCTAGCAAGCATTCTTGAAAAAAAATTAACAAAGTATAGCAATATTGTCATCTGTCAGCCATAGATGTTGTTGATAGCAAAGATTTTTTTTGTTGTTGTTTTTCCTTTTGAAGGTAACTCGAGACTTAAAAAAGAAAGCCCAACTCTCATCACCACTTGCTGTATGATTTGTTAATTGCACATCTGGTGCCTTTTTGGCTTTTCAGAGGAATGACAAAATCATGAATAATTCTGGTTTCAGATTAGCTCTTTGTAGTGAGGTCCCCTAGTTTTAGGGTTACATCGGAAAGAATGTGGTTGCATGATTGGTGGAGTATTTTACAAGGAGAAGAGTAATATTTTTTGAATGATGCCTGATAGTTTTTCACATTTTCAGGGAAAGAATAGCTTCTATTATTTTAAAAAGCACAGTATAAAAATATGTTTCTTCCACCGTGAATATCCAGGGGGTAGAATCTGGGTTTTATCAAAGAGTAAATTGTTAAAGAGGTTTTAAAACTTCTTCCCTGGGCAGGAATGTTACTGACATGAAACAATTTTAGATGTGAGAACCCGAATGATTACCAGAAACGAGGAAAAAAAAAAAAAACCACCATGCTTCTAAGTTAATGGTATAATAAGAGCTTTTATGCTGCAGAATTGTGTGGGATTTATATCTGAGATTTGGGAAATAAAACCTCCTTTATGTACTTTGTTAAACCCCTTTAAAAAAAAAAAAACCTCAAGTTTTTACACAATCACCTTCTCTGGGTTCCATCACTGCCACCCACAAGCTCTCCAAGCTGAAAACAAAACAAAAAACCCTTCAAAAAATCTCTTCAAAGACAAAGCAGACTTCTTTTTTTAATTTAGTAGATGCCAAACATTTTGGCCACAGCTAATTTGGGGGGTCAGGTGCTCTAATAATGTACATTTTCGGTAGGGCTGCTGACTGTGCAGTCATTAGAGCTATGACATTTCATCCCAGCTGAGAAGGTCGACGGGGCCATGACCTTTGGTGACATGTGTTGATCTGTTCCTTAGTCTTTCTTCAGGGATATGCCCCAAATTTTGTCCTTTTTTTTTTTTTTTATGTTAGGTGCATTTATAGTTACTATTTATTATCTTAGTGACTCAGAATATTCAAAAAAACCGTATGCAATGTTAACAGGAATTGAGATTGTGGCTTTTCGTTCCTTTGATTGTAATGGAGAATATCCTCTTGTCCCTTGGCTAAACAGAACTTTAGGGACATTTGCAATCATATTCTTCAGAGCACCTGGTTAATTATGCAGTTTAGTACAAGCAGTACTTATTTAATAGGGTAATCAACTAGATGGGTGCATGCAAGAGGTTGTTGTGCATCGAGGTGCTTTGCTTTGGGTTACCTGCAGTCCATCTGATCTCTTTGGTGGCATGTTTTGCTTGGGTGCTTCTATAAAATGCTGGACTGGTTGAGCTCTGGATCTCTCCTGTGACCGTCAGATATTGCTCTGGTGCACATGGAAGTATTGACGCTGACGATGGGATGTTGAACCATTTTAATCTTGAAGTATTGATATCACAAGTGTTCACTGAGGGCTGGATCCCAGGTGTGGTGGTTACTGGTTGTGGTGCTTTCATCCTTGAGCTGTGTGAGCAGAAACAGGACCCGGAGGAGTTCGTTTGGGGACTGTCAACTATCAAATTAGAGCTTGCATCAAGTGTTTAGGTGTATGTTTTTTATCCTAGGGAGTATAAAGACTTTCTGCTTTTAAATATTTAGAAATAATTCTACCCCAGCGTGTACAAAGGAGCCATTCTCTTTCTGTGTACGTGGGCTACGAAGGCCTTTGATGATAGCCAACGTTTCAAAAGGGCTCTGACCGCACACATAGGTTGAAGGGTTACTTTGTGAACTGAATAATTAGTTTAGACATATATTTGATAAATAGCAAGCTCTCCCTTGACCTTCCCTTGCCCAGGCTGTGTGTTATCGTTCTGCTGGGTGGCTAATTTAGTCTCCACCCCACATGCGATGCCTTGACGCTGTCCTTGGAGCACCCACTCAGAGCCCTCGCCTGGTGCAGTGACAATGTGTTTCAGTTCTCTTAATTTAGGTCAAATTTCAAAGGACTAATTGAAGCTTTCCACAAGGGACAGCCTAATTCTGTGTCCTGTGAAAAAACACAGTAGTTCAAAATGGGCTTAAATGTGCATTTGGGAGGTTCCTAGGAGCAGCAGTGAAGGGAAGAGACCTTTTATAATGGGCAATGGGTGCTCATGGTGGGCTCTGACCTGAGTAAAGAGTTGTCATTTGGGTTTTAGCCCAGTCACAGCTATTTGGCACCCAACAACGTATAAATATAAACACGTTCAGTGCAGTACCCAGAGCAATACCTCCCTTTTGGTAAAAAATGTTGGCAGTGCTTAAAGGTTAACATCACCTGTGGTCACAGTGGTGAGCACAGTCCACTTGGAGATCCTTTATTAGCCACCGTGACCTGCGTGTGGAGGAGGGATGCTGTGGTGGTGGCATGACCTGAGTAAGGAGTTGACCCCATGGCTCTCTTCTGTGCCGGTGCCACCCTGCTGCAAGGTTGGGGGGCTGGTGGGACCCTGCATGGTGGTCATCTTCCTGGGGCAGAGGCAGAGGAGAAGCACCAGGATGCTGCTTCCGATTTGGTAGTAAAAATAAAGCAAAAGGTTCACCCAGGGTTCCATTGTTACCTTTTTATTTTTAATTTTTTTTAACAAGAGCAGTGGCTTTGCTATCTGCAAATTATGATTAACAATTCAAACCGAGTTAAATCAGAAAGACTTTTTTTTTTTTCCTTTTTGAAGGAAGGGCAATTATCACAGCCCATTATGGAAGAATGTGACATCCCCACAGCTTCGGGTGAGGGCTGGATGCCCTTTCAGGGATCCGGTTCAGTAAGTTATTTGGCCCGGTACAGGAATTGCTAGCTGAGATTCTGGGGAACTGTACAAGCAGCCAGATTAAATCAGTCTTAATGTGTCCATTCTGCGTTTAAAATCCCCAGTCCTTTAGCAGAGGCATGGTCTTGAGCTGCAGACTAATTGGGCATGGGTAGGGTTGTTATTTACAGTCGGTGTTGATGAGACACTGGGAGTTGGTAATGTGTCAGCGTGGCAACTATTTTGCAAAGTAGCACAAATAATTGCACATTTCAGGCTTATCTGCTGTATTTTACAATTGTAGCTTTTTAAAGAAAAAAAAAGGAGTTAACTTTTAGGAATTTGATTCCTTTAGTGAATTTTTTCTTTTTTTTTTTTTTTTTTTTTTTTTTTTTTTGAGCCAGAAGATTTTCAAAGATGCTGAGTTGTGGGGTTTTTCATTTTTTTAATCTTTTTTTTTTAAAACCACTCGTAGAGATAAAGCGCCAAACCAGCCACCAACTCCAATGGATACATAGTTTTCTAATCTTAAAATAGTTCTTCCTTGGCAGAGAACTTGCAACAAATTTCAGGCTATAGTAACTTTTTTTTTTTTTAACAGACAAGTTAAAAACCTTTGGAAGCAGAATTTACAATGAAAATGCTGACAACTCCAGTTATGCAAGGTTGTGTACGCATGAGACGATGGACTATTGTGGTGTTTTAATAATAACCATAGCATAGCTCTTAATGAGCATATTTCTATATCCAGCTTCCCAGCTTCATTAGAATTGATCACTTGCCTTTATACAAATACATTCAAAGATTAGTATTTTCTTGGAATAAATATTTAGTTCAGGAACAGATGGGAGTGTGAGAAAAACACTGAACTGTCCCTTTTTCTATCATTAATAGAGAAAAATTTAGTACTGGAAGGGTCAGATTTTTGCGTGTTAAACA